TATCCACATGTTCCTTGCCTTGGTCTTTCTTGTCATTCGCCGATCCCCAGGGTTTCTTTGTTTTTTTGTGTGTTGTTGGGGGTGGGTCTTTCCTTCTCTTCCCCCCCTGCCAGTCCCCCCCTTTCCTCCTGCCCGCTCCGGCTGGTGCTTCAGTGGCCTATGGGAGGGAGGGGAGGTAGTAGATTGTGGTTTGGGAGGGTCGGGGCGAGGGAGGGGGAGGGTGAAATGTGTTATGGGGTGGGTGGTAGCGGGGACGATGCTATATACGAAAGTACCGAAGGGCGGGATTATATGCAATTCAGGTAGCTATCGTGTTCTTTGGCTAGGTAAGGTAATGACAGGATAGGTACGTATTAGCAAGTTATCTCAAGTTGCTAGGGCAACCCGCCAGTCCCAGTATCATGGCCGTCACGTCCAGTCACTTGCGTCGTTCCCGAGGTACCCCAGGTACTAATTCAATTTAGTCGAATATTCATACCAGACCCTATCCTGGGTACTCGCCTCCAGAAGGCAGAATTAATACAATCTAGCACCAGGCCCCAACCTCCCCGTCCCCACGTTCAAACTCTCCACCCCGGCGTCTCCTCCCCCACACTCAACATTTTGATTGTTCTCACCTTTCTTCTTGTTCCACGCCAGTACTCCCGCCACGGCGCTGGACTCGCACTCCATCGAAGGCAACAATGGTGTGAGCGGACAACTTTAAGTGCCAATATTTCAATGAGGGACATGGGGGATTATGGATAATGCAAAAATGCAAAAATGCTGGATAACATGCCTGGTCACCATTCTAGCCTCTATAATATATAAAAAATTTAGAATACGGCAGTGGGCCGAACAGGTAAACCTTGCCAACCCAGGGGGAGGCACCAGCCCCGTTAAACCAGAAGGGTCTGCCAGGTTCCTGGGGGTCTGGTTGGACTGGAAACTCAACTGGAAGGCTCACCTGGTGGCGGTGGAGAAGAAGGCTGAAAACCCAGAGCTATTCCCCGTCGAGGATCGTGGCAAAGACGTGGGGAATGGGGCAAGCCAAAGCGCGAGAAGTGTACACAAAGTGCATCCGGTCGGCGCTGGCCTATGGCGCATCATCGTTTCACATCCTCACGGATGTGGGAGGCGAGCCGGCAAAGAAAGGCATCACTAAGGCCCTCGGGAAGGCCCAGAACAAGAGCTTGCGGATTGTGGCGGGAGCCTTTAAGTCTACCCCCATCCGTAACCTCGAGACAGAGACATGGGTACCACCATTAAACTTGTACCTAAACAAACGGCTTGCAGATTTCGAAAACCGACTCCAACAACCCGATCTGGACGACGGTCAAGGCGGCAAGAAGACGGCGGCGAGCGTTGTCCTCACCGCCTGCCGCAGGATACAGCAGAGACTTAGCTCGAGGAGGGGCAACAGGGGCCGACCGCGAACCTTGGGACCTCAAGGGCCTACGGCGGTGGAGAGAGCCGCGGGCACGGTCATGCGCTGGACGGGGGGGATCGTTGATACAAACACGGTAGTAGAAAAGGCTTGGAAAGCGAGGTGGTTAAAGGAACGGGACCGCAGGGCGATCACCAGGCCGGCGGACGACTTTGACCATCAGCAGGAGACGCTATTCCGGAACAAAACCCTAAGGAGGCACGACGGTCTCAGCAAGGCGAAGAGCTCACTGCTGATTCAAATCCGGACGGGAGCAATAGGCTTACGGGACTTCTTGTTTCCACGGGGAGTCCCGGAGGTTCTGACTCCTGCCTGCGAGTGTGGCGAGGGACGAGAGACTGCCGAACATCTGGTAGTGTGGTGTTTGGCCCCACCGTTGACTCGAAGATGGGAGAGAATTGGAGTTCGAACACGACGGGACTTTTACTCTGTTCTACACGGCATCAATCCCACGACTGCACGGCTCGTGAGGAGAGTTCTCGACTGGCTGATGGACTCGGGGAAGCTGCCGATGTACAACTTAGCCAGGAGGCTCGAGCTGGAAGCGGCGGCCTGAAGCGCCCCCGTTCGGAGGCCAGGAGGCCTCCTCTCTTTGTATACGCAGACTCACCAGAACGCATCATTTCTTGATTGTGGGTATGGGTTTTTCACCCGGCCCGGGAGGGCACGGTTTTCCTGTACACTAAATAGCAGAGGGTCCGGCACGCCCTAGGGCATAGCGGAGTATGAATAATAATTATGCCGTCAAGGGTACCCTATAAGTACAGTGCAAAGATGTAGATCTTCCTCAGCCTCTGATTGAAGGTGAAGCGGATAAGCGGCATGTATACTGAGGGAGCACACATGAACACAAAAAGCCTAGCATAGCCCCATGCACAACACTAGCACCTTCTAGTCAATAGAAAAGTCGAACCCGAAAGGGGAGCAACAAAATAAGAAAGGAGAAAGAAGTAGGGAAACTAGGAAGAAAAGGCAATAAATAAACGAAGAAAACCCAAAAAGGGAAAGGGGGAGAGAAAAGAAGAGAGAAAGAGAAAAGAGAAAGCAAGAAGAAAAGAGATAAAATGGAAAAGAAACACAAGAAATAGAGTAAAGGAATTGAATAAAAGAACGGAATAAAACAAAAACTATGGGCTCCTGGACGTCTTTTTCCCTTCCATCCGCGACCCAAAAGTTTGGTCGGCATTTCCACTTGGGGTTCAGCTTTTTTGCCCAGGAGGCCCAGTCCGGTGATGTGCCTGGCTACAAGGCTGCCAACAAGGCGCTTTCATGACACATCCTCACGACCCCCTACTTGGTGTGAGGAGAAGCCAACTTCTACATATTTTGCTTCTATTAACTAATTAAAAAATAAAATTAGTGCCTAACGCTGTCCCCATTGCAGCATCTCCCTTCCTTCCCTCCCTTTCAATCACACCACGCTTCAGAATCACCATGCCTTCTACAGAGTCAACCCCGCTCCCGGAATTACCCGGAGGATTGTCTCCATACATCCTTCACAAGACTTTGGTTTCATGCGGTAAATACCAAGGACTCGGCACCATCACCTACATCGATCCCCGGGACGACACCCAAACCCAGCGAGAACGAGACTACATCTTCCTCCGGAACCGCAACCCACACACCCCAGTCGGAACGCTAATCCCCAACATCTACAAGAACAACCAAAATCAATGGTGCACCATCCTAGTGCAACAGTTCCGGCCGCAATACGAGTCCGACACGATCGAATTCCCCGCCGGCTTCATCAACAACAAAACCAAGGACAACAACAACAACCGCACGGACGCCGACCCAGTGGAAACGGCCAAGCAGGCAGCGGTGCGGGAGCTCGAGGAAGAGACCACCAAGACGGGCACCGTGCTCAGCACGAGCCCGCCGCTGACCTCGGGGCCCGTGCCTGTCGCGGCGCGGCTCGCGGCCGTGTTGGTGCACGCGCGGGATAAGGAGGGGGAAGAGGCGGGCCGGCAGCGTCTCGATGAGGGCGAGTTTGCGGTCGAGGTGCAGGTGCCGCTGCTGGAGCTGGAGGAGAG